GGCAGAAACCCCCTTTCTTACAGTTTATCAGATACTTTATGAAGGGTTGGTGAAAATGGTGATAATGGCAGTTTTGGTGGACCGAAAAGTATATACTAGTCAAATGTAGCCTGCTGGTGATTTGATTAATTTATAAATAAAGTTGTAAGCTAATCTAAATATTATATATACCGTACACATTAGCTTAATTTATAACGCGACTTTGTTTCGCATTCTGTTTCTCAGATAGCAAAATTTGCGTGTCTTATTTAATTTGACCCAATAAACAACAACGTTAATTAAACACGTCTGAAGAATTACAATCCACTACGAGCAGTTAGAAATGTACGAATAAAAACACTACTTCTTTGCATTTTGTGGTATTTAAGCTTAAACTTACGTAGGACAGCTCATTTAAAATTTTGGATATATAATAGTAATCCAGACTCGTAATCGTAGTGGCTGACAGAAGCTAAATGAATGAACTCGCTTCTAAGTCATTGCGTCTGGATTATCTGTAGGTTCTGTTTAACCTGACCTTTAGTTACTTTTGCAATAAAGTTACTTTTGCAAAGTTGGACCATTTAACTTTCACCTTGAATTTGATTACCTAAATAGAAAAAAAAAGCAATAATTTTATTACAAAGGAATTAGTCGCCTTCTATTTTCGAGCGTATATTGCTTTGGCTACGTTCTTACACAGCGTAGCCATTGTGTGTAGAGATTGTTTGTGTACATCGTTGCACGGGAAGCCCACCGAAACCAGTCTCGGAAAGTCGACTAACAGGACAAGATGAGGCCAACGAGGAAAAACCGACGCTAGCTTCTACTGCGAGAAGCTTGTGCCAGCTCCTTTACGCGTTGGATCCTGCTATTTCTCCTGCGTCTGTGTGAGGACGACTGCTCATGTCGAAGAAGCACTGCCTTCTTCGATGTAGTTGAGTAGACCCAAGACAGAGCTAGGAAAAGCAGCGGTTTGACGCGCAGTATGTTGCAATGCATATAGCGATGATCTATGCATTCGAATTGGATAGGGAGGTGGTAGACTGCTCGGCCCTCCTCTAAAGGCCTTCAGACTACACGTCCCTGGGCTCTGCATGTTAGCTGTGCGTTTTCCCCAACATACGACCCACTCTCTGTACTCTGTCTGTGTGCTGCTTGCTCGGCTGTTGCTATCTATCCACTGATAATCGTGTTAGGGCAAAGAGGAAAAAGAGAACATACGAGCGTCACAGAAAGACGCACACCGCACTAGACCCTACCTCAGCGCGTTCCTCGGCAACCCTAACACCGGGCTGGCGGCATCAACTGACTGTCCCGCAAAGGCACATTGCTGTTAGTTCTAATAGCGCCGGGGTCTTCGGAGCGGGTGAGGAGATGCCTGGGGGGCTAAAGCACTGAGAAGGGGAGCCGAGTATGGCCAATTTGGAAGAGGATTTAAGGGAAATGTGAGAGGAACAGGGAGAGAAAAACAGACACTGAGACAAAATGATGGTGAAAAAGACGAGAAACTCTCGGATTGCTGCGGGCAATAACGTCTGAACAGTGAACCAGCAGCAGCAACAGTAGCGGCAGAGCTAGAAGCGGTGCTGGAATAAACGATTTGCGAGCAAACGCGACGGGCACTGCGATGCACGGAACGGGCCGGACTGCTTTCCGAAGCGTCATGCGATGCGACGCATCAGTAAGATGAGACAGGTGTGAGAAAAAAGACAACGAGCGTAGAGGAGTGGCTAAGTGGAAAGGAAAAGGAAAGAGGACCAAACTGGAAGGCGTAACGGGAACGATAGCAAGCAAAAGAAGAGGATTATTCCTGTGAACTGAGTTGCTGTTTCTGCATGGAGCAGTATGGTGATTATTACTATTATTCGCATTGCTGTTGCCACCATCGACGAGAATTATATTTCTATGGCGCATACTAATATATATATTACGAACCATGTGTACATCTTCATGCCTAGGGCATTTGCCAATGCACTTCTCACAAATTACTGATATATTTGATGAAAAATTAATGTGAAAGAAAAACCACTCGGTCGTTATAAATTAGATTCTGATATTTTGCGAGAAACATGAACTCGAACCCTGTGTCTAACACGCCTTCTTCTGCAGCAGTAGACTGCTTATACATATTAGACTGCTTAAACATATTCAAAAGGGATTAGATATTAGAGCGTTTAGAAAAATGGAAAGTATATATTTCAACAATATGCAGAAAATTGTCACCCGCTTTGGCAATCGTCAGTGGCAAAGCTGGGTTCATATGCAATGTGAATTTAATGCAAACGAGAAAATATACTTTTTCCCTATACGCTTTCTTTGTTCGCATATCAACTGCTGGCTTAACGACGCACAAGCTTGCTGGCGTTATAGACTTGTCATGAGCAACAACAGAAGTAGTAAGGGCGTGGCGATTTTCAAAACGCCTGGCAAGGTTTCATGTATGAGAGTTTTATGTTGCTATAAGGTAAAATACGTCAAGCGTCACTTGTCTGTTTTGAATGGATAGCCGACGGCGGCTACGAGGCGACTAACTTGTCTAGATGCATGAGGTTTATGGTGAGCTCTCAATTTGACTCGGTACGGGTGGCTTTTCCGCCTGCAAGTTCCTTTAAAAGTCACAGCAACAGCACCGCTAATAGCAACAGGGCTCATTATACCTCTGCCGCGGCGTCGTTGCACTGCTTTCGTCATCTTTTCAGAACTCCTCGTAACTGCACGAGCCAAATTAGAAGATAGAACGGCAAACCAGGAAAGGAAATTGAAAGTGAAGCAGTGCCAGTGAGATGCCCCCCAAAAGTGAGAACAATACGATCCAAATGCGCATTGCAGCACAGGCAGGCGAAGCCCTACCGCCAAATCGTCCCCCGTCCGACCCCGAGCCCGAATTTAGCGGAACTCCGCAGTCGTTTGTACGACGCGTGCCGTCAAATAAAAGTGCAAGCCGCCATGAATGTGTTTCAAAGTACGAGAATCGCTAAGAGGCGAGTGTGACGCAATGAGGAGAACACGAGCGACCGAGTATGGGGAAATGTGGCGCTATGTAGAAGCAAGGGTCCAGGAGGAAAAGCCACAGTTCCAGCAAAGTTGTTCCTGCGATGTACCTACCACCACTGCTGCCATTGCCGCTATTCTAACAGTTAGGAAAAGTGCGAATGGGATTTCCAGAAACGGCAGCGGGTGACCGACAGATGGGGGCGCGGAGGGCAAATCAGGAAAAATAATAGGAACGGTTTACCCGGGCTCTCCGCCATCGTGACAAGGAGCCGGGTCACAGCTTGCGGTGGCAGAAGTAGCATGAGAGACCGAAACGAATTTAGGGGCTGGAGGAGAGATTTCTACGACGGCGCAACTAGGGTTCTCATCGGACGCAACGGCTGTCATAACGGACAACGGCGTATAGTGTGCTAACTTTCAATGTGATCCAATCGTGTACGTGTACTAGTGTATTATAGTTGAATAATTATGTCTACAAATGAAAGCTAGAACGAGCGAAGTACGTTTCCATTATCGTAGAAGATGTGTACATACGTAAAGGAAAATTGCGGCAGAAATAGAAACTAAATCCTGGTTACATTACAACAAAATGTAGAGAAATAAACCTTTTTTTCCGATGGAAACCAACGACAATGCGGGCCTTGAAACTAGCTGGTAAAAGTTTCTGCGTAAAATAGATAAACATCATAATGGCAGAGCTACTCTTTGCACTGTCACGTAATTGCTAAAAATAAATGAAACAAAGGTGTATGTATCGGGAAGATGCGAATGTTAGAGAACGGTAACCAATTTTGCCTAAGGACACCAAGTCGTGACTCTGCGAATTTAATAGATCTTTGATAAACTTTTCGCTTGAGTACCATATAGAATTGCCCAAAAGCCTGCATCGGTTCTGCTTGGTGGCTATTAACACAGCTTGAAAGTTTATGTAAGGCAAGCTTATTTATTCATAAATATTAATATCATATAATTTTCTATTATGAATATCATAAATGTTTGCGATTGCTGAATGCGTTCACAGATATCTAGTATATCGCTGCTTATCTACAGAAAATATGAGCTTTTTAATGGATGTTTAAGAATTAATAATCTTCAAGATCTTTTGTGAAGAATAAAATTGGTGTTGAACAATGTTTCGTTAGCGAACCTCATTTTGTGCGGTATGAAAAAATCTATTTTGGTGGACCTACAGGATAGTGCCGACAATCCAGCTCGACTTACAAATGCCGCCTTTTTACAGACCGTTATTTGGCCATTTGGTCTATAACAATCAGCTTTACGAAAGCCAAAGCGCCATCCAAAGTCATCGAGTCCACGTAACCATACATATAATAGTTATGTAGTAATATCTGCCATAGTTTGAAATTGTGAGCGATCCGGCTTTTTCTTTTATTAGAAGCTATAACCGCGGGAGAAAAGAGTGGATTTGGGTCGTTTACTCCTATCTCGAGCAAGAAATCGATGAAAATCTCAAAATGTGGCTAGTGTACGTTAGTACAACGCAAGGCTGAATGACAGGCAGCGTTCTACTGTTTAATATAATGTGACTGCGGCGTCATTGTTTACCTCGTAATAGAGCAGAACGCTGAAAGAAGCATTGTGGAGACGCTTTCTGTGGGGAAAAGACCTTGCTTTTAAACAGCACGATTACGTATGGACACTACCTGTACACGGTCGGATGGCTGTTAAATTTTGCGAATTGATGGCCCTTATATTGGTCGAATGATTACGAGCTACCCAGGACAAAAAAATTGAGAAAATTAATGGCTCGTGGTCACAAGGCGCAAAGTATGGACATTAGTCAACTGGGAAATTCAACAGGATCAAAATGAAATTTCAGGTATCCCAGATCACTGCATTAGCAAAATTGGAATATTTGGTAATTATTTTCTACCATTCGAAAATAATGTATGTTTATGTACTTCATCCCTATGCTTATGTAAAGTATTTATAATATTACTCTAAAAGGCTTTATTTTACCCAGAAATGATATTATAATAAGCTACGCTTTTTGTCTTTTGCAGAGATTCCACAGCTGATCGAGGCACCCCTGATGACCGCAGACAGTCCAGGTAAACAATATAAAAGAATAGAGAATATTTTATCAGTTTGGTTATAATCTTTTAAAAAGCTAGTCACTGCGTAAAGCGAAAAATGTACACAAATGTAAAAACGAAAAAGTATTTACTTTTTCTTTTTTTTAATTTTTTTTTCTTATTTTGTTTGTTTGATACCACGTTTTTAATATCTGTGGTATAGAACGGTATATAATGATTGTTACTTAGCCAAAAAGCGCTGCGTTTATGGCAGTAGTTACGTATCCATGAGACGTTCATAGGGGTTGTACGAAACGTATGATTTTAGTAAAAAGAGTGGTAAAAAGAATCGCAGTGCTTCAATATGCTAATGTAAATTATAGAATAAGACCGTATTATCGTCAGTTCCTATAAAATCACCCAGATAAAATTGCCCTGGGCCATAGCTGTCTTTCGTTATAAAAAAGGATCTCACGTACTCTAACGTGTAGCCACAAAGATACGCTTTCAATCGTATATTATTCGGGCATTAAACAATAGACTATTCTAGCCACAATGTATAGCACAAAGAGTTACATGGTTCTGCGTGTACACGCAGCGAACTCTGGCGGTGATAACGACTATGAAGACGATGAGGATGTCGGCAGCGAGGAAGATGGTGATGACTGTTTAGATTGTCAACAGGAGAGCGCGCATTTGACTTTTCGCAAATTTTGCAAACGGGACTATGGTAAATACGCATTCATTACTATTCCTGAAAACGATAAGCAAACAGTCGCTAACAACAAATGTCGAATAAATCTAACCGCTGGAAAGGTCCCATGGCAAACTATGCTAGTTTACTTGGAAGAAGAAAACATTTCAAAAGGACCTCTTAGAGATTCTTATTATTAGAAATTATTCGTATGCAAAAACTGAAGTTCATCCTTTTGCACGTACATTCGTAGCTGCACATGTCGTGGTGCAATCGAAAGAAGCATTTGGAGATTGGATCCGTTTCTCCGTGCAGGTGCATGACGTGTTCAAGTGGGGCGCGTCCAAGGTACGCAAAGGCGGCCAGGATTATGTCTGGGTTCCGCAGGCGGACCTTAGATGCAAATGCCCTCAGATACGCATCAAGGGATCATACATCGTTCTCGGTAAGCAAACATTTTTAATAGTAAGGTCAAATTAACATTAGACAATGCCTAGAATGGCGCAGTGCGGAACAATATACTTCGCAATCATTGATTACCTGCTCATCGAATTTTCCAAATCGTAGCTCTGTACTACACTGTACTTCACTAAAAAAAACCTTCGAAGGCCTTCAATCAATTTCTTTAGTATTTCCGATCTGAGAAGTTCTGAAAGCCTCAGCTACAATTTATAGCCCCTTCATCGCAAGGTCAAGTTACCCAAAACGACTACTTTTTGTTCTCTCCGTACAGGTTCAAATCAGATGCACGGTGGTTTAATGAGTATGACGGCCGATCGTAACAGCGTCGTAGTTGACCACAAGGAAAGCATCGGAAGACGTCTCAGGAAGTTCTCTTCCCGTCAAAGGCGGTGCAAGAACTGAAGAAGGACAAAAAGAAAGAGTCGTTGCCATTTTATGATGAAACCATTGAACGATCAGTGCTGCTGTACTTCAGCAAAATAAAGCTCTATCTAAATATCATCACATTTATTTGTACGTATGCTGCGCGAAATAAGAGCATCTTCACGGCTGCTTATAATAGAATATTATGTCATCGTCTGGTTTTTTCTGTGTCACTGCGCGAACCGCCTTATGGAAAGCAACTGAGACGCGCATCCGACGGGCAATTAACGCCAACCCAGGATATCAGGAAAGCGCAGCGATTTCCTTTGCACACTACCTCTAATAGAAAAAGCTCCCTGAGTGAGCTAAGGACAATTAACAGTTCGAGTTTTTCGAAGGGGGATCCATCCAAGCAACCAGATATGATCAACATGGCTTCATAGTGGTAGCTAGACGAAAATGTTCTAACACGGTTTCATTTCCAACTTAATCCAGCATAGATGAAAAGACCTCGCAGTGTTACATAAATACATATGGAATAACCAGCACTCGCGCTTGTGTGTTACATATAATATAGTATCCAATTATCAGGTATACAATTAATTGATTGCAGCTTGGGTTCACCCAGGCACAAGCTGCAAAGTATCATTTAAAGCCTAGAGCCATTTGTGTAAACGGTAGTTTTGGTTACGAATGGCTTCATTGAAACGTTGTGCGCACATAAAGAGAACGTGGTCGGTGAAATCGATTTATTGTTGTGAAGGATTCATACCAAAAGAGTATGGTATCACAGGAATGGCTGCATATATATTTAAGTTCAGCGTCGACAGATAGTATTCATGTTATAACTAGTTATTCGAATCTCGAACGAGCAAGGGTCACAGCGGCAGGCCCTTCTCTGCCGTCTGGATAAGGCATTCGTGTCGGTCATCGCCATTAACACATGACCGGGGTAAGACCACGACAAGGAAAATTACGGATTCTGAAAGTACAGATGCGACTACAAATTAGAGAACAAATACGTACGGCATGAAAAAGCGTCATCTCGAGTTCTTATATGCTTTGATCTTTTCAACGTTTGTAGCCAATACAATCATTTGCAATTACACTCCTTGCATTCATGTAACTACATGTTCTGCCATCAACGGAAAGCAGGCAGACAGGGAATTCTTGCCACATGTCCTGTAGTGGCCATCGTTAATTCTGAAACGAGATGTTCAATACCTAATTCAACTTATGGATCAGTATTGAAACAGTGACAGTCTATTGTATGCTGATGATTTTCCAAACCTGCAAGCACCAACACGGATACGAGCCAATTACCGGAATAACAATCTAACTGCTTTTCTAACATGGATCAAAGCGGTCGGTGCATCTCCGCACTTGATAGGATCCAAGCTTTACGTGTCTCTCCGTGTGCAATATATACATAGAGACACACACAGCTCAGTCAGCGGTACGACAAGAACGCTCCATTCCAATGGCCGTCACCGCTGTCCGTATCTACCCATGTTGACATTATGTTTGCTGAGACCTTCACGATACAATAGAAACTCAATATTAAAGTTTCTTTTGTCTACTCAATGATCAGTAACCTGCAAGTTCCTGCCACTATGAAGCGAATCATATGTTCGGAGTCCACCTAACAAAATAACTAACGAGGACGCAACTTCGCAGTGAAGGAAATTTTCCAAATAACACATCTTCGACCTGACGCAATGGCATACGTCCTTGGTTGATGCTTCTGCATCTATTATTATTATTACAGAATATAACGCAAGAACAACATGAGGAACACAATAGTGTATGTTATGTCGACACTTTGTGATTTGTTATTAGTATTTCGGTGGAGTGGCAGAAAACCTATCCTAAGATTCGGTCAGCAACATCTTTTTTTTTTAGCAATTTTTTGTCTAGAAGACACCACAACCGATCTGCCTATGGGGAGTAAAGATTAACAGTACCGCTAAAGTAAAGGGCAGACGTATAAACACTTCCTGAGCCGTGTTTTAGTTACGCCCTGTACGAGTACGATTATCAAATATTACACAGGCAAACAGATTAATGTCGGATTGCATATAATTATAAGCACACATTCAATAAAAATAATAACTATGATTATGCCGAGACTAATAGCAAGTCTGAGTGCATCCCAACGTTTCCTGTACATAATGTAAATATGTTCGCTATTGAGATCAACACATATATGTGCATGTCTTGAGTGTGTCTGAGGAGGTAATCGAAAGCGAGCGAAAGAAAGCGTTAATTTTATGGGGGAATTAAATGGCGAATCGCTATATGGTCCACATCACATGTATCGAAGTTGAACTTAGATAAGACACAGCCTTAAGAGCACCCCCGTAAGGGGCGATTTACGAGAAATAATTTCAACATTCAAGCAAACAAGCGTCTGGTGTAATACAAGTAACAGCGGTTCAAGTTACGCAGCAATAGAAGGACACTGACAGATGCTCTGAGTGCCAACTAAAGCTCGGTCATAATTATAATAATTAACATTATTACTAATAATCATAATACGTATAATAATAATATATTCATCGTCACCCTTCCTAGATAGGCTGAAGCATCAGAAGTCCAAGCACCATCAGCAATATATTATATATATATAATAAGTTCGGAGATTCATTAGATGTATTACTCGACAAGTAATAGGGGTGAGACTAATAATAATCATAATAACAGTAACAATACGATTAATGACAAAAGCGACCGCGATGACGGACAGCCATCTTAATTATACTATACTGAAGATAATAACCATAATTAAACTAATATGAGATAATATAATAACTGAGAAGTGTAAGGTCAATAAGAGGCAGAGCTTAAAAAACAACAAGCATTTGCACGTTACAGTAGTAATACTATTATTCGTAGTGTGATAGAATGACGATTACTCATGAAGGTCAGAACGGCGTGTGTTAGGTTAACAATAGCCTCATAAATAACAAAGAGTAATTAAAGTTAATATTGCATAAGTTGACTCGTCACAGATTTGTCCGAATTTCGTATACGACTGTTATGGTATATGAACTGAATTTCATCAAGTTCGATTGATTTGACCACTTGATAATTATTAAGATTGAAAAAAAAAAAACTGAACGAATGGGAAGGCTGCGTAAAGCAATATCAGGAGATCAGACAGCGGCATTATTGGTAACAACAATGTGATTATGAAATAATAAAGCAAACAGATACGTTTTTAATTCTATCCTGACAAAAAATAACCGTGTGTTTATTCTAAGCAGTACTAGTACAATTCACCATTTTAACATAAATATTATTCTAATTATTAGTGTAAATAAAAATTATTGATTTTCCTTAGTTATCTATGACGGAGTTATCTCGTTTGTTATTGCAAGAAATGTTTCTTTACATCACCGCAGGGGTTCTCTATCTACGGGCCCGAAGATAAATATAATGCTTCTCTTAGACTACTTTAAGAACGACATAAATTAAGGCGCGACGTAGATAGAGCGATTGGTCTGTTTCCAAGATCTCGATCCGTTGTTTTAAACCTTTTCACTGCATACGCAGCGTAAAAAAGAAAGCTCGTTACTGAAGGTCCAAATGTAAGCGATTTGTACGTAATACCCCGCTAGCCTTCAAGTAGCTAAGAACGAGTTAGTGAACTAAAATTAAGTTCAAATAATAATAATCTAAAAGCTATGCAAACATTTCCAGTATTTCAAGCACTGTCATTCTCTAAAAGATAAGCCTGCAATTCTAAAAAACTATATATATATATATGCGTATGTGTGCAAAATAGCAATATGGCTCTTAAGTTGTTCCATAAAGTATTTGGCTTGAACATAAATGAACGTAGGTCTTTCAAAGACGTAAGAAATCATAGCAATTTCCCGACACTACCAATCTTTTCGACCAAGCTCGCTTTAACTCTTAGGTGCTCTCACAGGCAAAATAATGGTTTTGATGGCGCACTGTAGACGTGGTATGTTTGTAGCAGCGCTCTAATTTACAGCACATTTACGAAGGAAGGCAATACGGTAACATTTTTGGCAAAATTTCCATTCCTTGGTTTGTTAGAGTATCGAAAAAATCTCCACAACCACCGAATTTGACCATAGAAAGTACAACTTCTCTGCGCAGTGACCGCCAAACATTTCACACTTTTCCCCGGTAAGCATCTACAGGAAAACACAAAGTTTCTCGATTTATTAAAGTTTACGGCTATGCTGCCCAAACTCAATTACGATATATCTAAGCGATCGGTACTAAAAGACCCGTTAGGTCCTTCCAGCCCTAGGGACACGTTGTGGTCTAGGTCCGAAGCCGGACATAAACAGACTTCGTTTCGTGCCGAAAGCCAGCTGTCTGACTTAACTATGCCATGGTAATACTGGACATAAAACATAGAGGTCGTTTTAGTATGTATTATGTATAAAGAAATGAAACAATAATAGTGATTTGTTAAAAGTCTAACCAAAAAACTGCCGAAGATTAGGTGACTCTGCGGTATAAACATATTAAATGATTTTGCTGCAACATGATGTTCACTCTCTTACTTAACGAATAAATTATATGTATATAGAAAATGTGGTACATTTCCTAAACGTTCTTCAGTTACGTGCTAATAAGACGTATATTATATCTGAGATTTTCAGGAAGCGATGCTATTGAGGGAGAGTACTTGGCTGTCTTAAACATTGGCTTCATCGGTGATTTGCGTTTCCTATCGTTGCAAGACGGGCAAATGGTTGTTGACACGACGGAGTGAAAAATGTTAGAAATTGGCTACAATTATTAGAACGATATAAAGGTGATTATCATTGGAATAATCTGTAATATTAAACAGTGTGGTTCAGCTATCTCTTAGGGGTTTCCACGCCCCCACTAAAGCACTGCTCGTTATTACTAAAAAATAGACACATATTACTTGGATTGTGTATGGTGTCTGGTACTTCAACACTTTATAGCCGCGTCATCAATAGCCGCGACGCCGTCCAGGGTAGGCCTTCTATTTAGTTGTCGCTTTGGTGCCTGAACCTCGCTGAGCACGTGTTACTGAAAATTTAACAGTTCAGTGACATAGGCTGCTTATATCCAAGTAATGAATTTACTTCAAAATTGCTTGCTAGGTGCAGAGAGATTCTCCTCTTATACAAGCTAACTCGATAACGTTACAACGAACAAGTGTGACGTCCTTCAAAATCTTTATTATGCCTTCGAGAATAGAGGCTGCATGTTTAACGCTATACGCCGAAGTAACGCCTTGGAGAATGCTCTTACGACACTCGTACATTGCGTTGTAACAATTACTTGTTTGACGACGTATAAAACTGAAAATATGGTCAGCAGCTACACTCACCTGGCTCGCTGTTAGACTTGAAGACACTTTGTCAGAACACCGACAAAGTGTTAACTATTTTGAAGCCGGGGTTTTTTAAATAATATAATTAAACTAATTAGGCACCATTTTGATCAACTACCTTCTGCCATTGTTTTGATAACACCATAATTCCATCACCGTATGACCGTTGTTGTTGTCTCTGGCCGAAGAACTGTGAGCTGATTTTCCACCCCTTATTGAGGCTAAATTAACAGTATTAAGGCAGTTTTGCAGGGTCCGAAACAGACAGTAGAACATAGTCGGATGGTGGAAGTCTCCCGCTTAACGACAGATGTATCAAAACATTTCATATAAATTCTGTCAATTTTTGCTGGGTAGCTAAAGACACATAGGGTCTGGCATTATCATGACGGAAGACAATGCCCCTTCCGTTCCGGTCGATATTTTCAATGACTTATTGCTAACCTTGTTTGTTTAAATTAATCAATGGACAGAAGCCCATCATGCGCGGTATCTATCCTATCCTACCAAGCACATAACGCGATCTTGCTTGGCGTGGCTGCATGAATTATGGAACACGCTTTTTTTTTTGCGAATTTTTGTCGTAAATCAGCAGTAATCAGCCCTCTTTCTTTCTGAACAATCGGGGAGATTGAAATACGATTGACTAAGTTGTCTTGCGTCGCTTCACCAAATGTTCAATGTCTTTTTACTAACTCACTAAACAATTTTTTCGAATAGTTTAAAACTATTTGGTAGTTAATGTTTAATTTTTGCTCATTTCGATCCTCATAATTTCGTCAACTTCAATCGTAAGTGGTTGACCGTTACAAGGAGCACCTTTCACAACGAAAGCAACAAAAGTATTTTTGAGTCGTTCCTTTCGACATATCTTGGCCCGCACGTTTTTTTTTCTTTATGAGCCTGGACAGCACTTGTGCCTTTATCGTAAGAAATTTGTAAAATATAGTGAATTTTTATATAAATTCGTTCTATATTGAAAGCATTTTATTTTAGGCCTGATTAGAGGCATTTTTAGACCAACGATTTTAGCGCATCTACTATTGTTAGATTTCCGCCTTCTAAGATAGACTTTAAAGCCATCTAGCTAGAAAAAAAACATTTTTTGAAAAATCAATGTGCTTATTAATCTCTTATAATTGCCTATCGATCATTTATAATCGTATGAGGCTAATCCATAAATATGATCACATATATTCGAAGTATTATTACATGAAAATCATACGCGTCCACTAGTTATCTACGTGAACGTATGAATGTACACACTACGAATCAGTCGTCTGCTATGTTATTTGTTTTTACAGTGTTTACCGGCACTCTCCACTGTTTCATATCGGCAATTGTTATTATAACTGGGGCAAGATTTATTTAATCACACATGTTGTATAGTAGGTGTATATAGTCGGGCTTAGCTTTTCTAACGGCAGGTTTTGTTATTTAAGTTACCACACGGGTAACGGCTTTTCATATTCATCTCAATGGTAAGATGTGACATACAATCCAACGGATTCTTCGATAACCTCTTCTTCGATAAGTCTTCTTTCGCCAAGCTGCCTGCCGACTTTAATAATGCTTCATATATACAACATATAATACATATATACAACAACAGCGAAAAGCAAACCGTTAATACTATTCTATATATGAATGCGGCGTAGCGTATGATAGTCATATCGTATAAATAAAGAAGTTCTATGGACTCACCGTTGAGCATGGGTTATATTACTTTCAGCCACGGTAATGTTGGAAAGGTCCCTGTTTAGGGTATTTGAAAATGTCGACTCAGTTAGTAGAGACTTAACGAACAATTTCGAAAGCAATACTTAGCTCTCGTAGCTTTTTCTACTACTGATTGTGGCCGTGAAAGATATATGGTGCTATTATTAAATATCTGCAATAGAAGCTAGTAGTGCATATTTATATACGATCTTACACATTGAAGTAGTTGGTTTTACTAAAAACTAGCTTTTGCAGCTCTAAATTCAATGCATGGAGGAAGTTTTTTGTCGAGTTTTTCCAATGCTTAACTGAAGAAAAAAAAAAACAGAAAAAAAACAAGGAGAGAAATCGAAATAAAATGATATTGTCTCTTGTTGTATTGTATCACCTTTGTTTTCGGTGTAGTTAACGTTCCACGCTACGTTCATTAACATGACACCACTAACTCTGGTAATGACTATTTGTGTGATACGCAGCATAATTAATAATATATTGTTTATCTTTCTTATCTATAATCCAATACGTGGACAGCCGCGGTGGCTGGTAAACGAATGTTTAATTCGTTTATATTGCGTTGCGAATCCTCTGTAGTGGAAGTAAGAGCACGTACTTACTGAAAACGCCACAAAAGCTAGACCTTGAAGACCCCAGATACACTATATTCTTTAGGCCTTATCTGAAGATGATATCCGGGAGGGTACCAGTACAGCCTAAAAACCATGGTCTTCTCGGTGTCCTGATTCTGAAACGCGGATTGCCGAGGGCGGATGGACGCATGTTACTTTGAGCCGTCTGTTTTTCACTGTTGTTGGTGTTCTCAATCTTTGAAGCCTAAATGCTGTTAATGATAAGGCTGCGTGACTTTTTCAAATAATTGACCTTGCACCCCCTAGCAATACCTACTCAGCTAATCTTACCATGCATCATTCAACTCTGCCTGATTACTTACAAAATGAATAAATGTACGTCTTCGAGTCATTAGATTAGGATAGGCTGTGTGCTAGGTAAATACCGTGTTACAGTACATAATCAGGAGCAGATTTCAGCG